GGTGTGGGGGTGTGTCGGCACCGCTACAGCGCCCGCTTCCCTTCCGGGCCAGCCTTGACGCCTGCCCTCCTGGGGCTGGCGGCCGCCTCCGGCTTGAGGGGCTCCGGCTTTTCCCGCCTCCCGAGGACCTCCGTGAGTTCGGGCCCTGTGCCTTTGTGGGGGAAGGCCCTATCGGTCTCTGCCTGGCAGCCGGAGCTCTGGCGCGTCCTGAAGGACGATGAGAATTGAGCTTGGCGGGGAGAGGGCAGGCTCCCCTCCTTGGGCCGCTGCGAGCCCGCCTCTCGGTGTGGTGGCTGGTTTTTCCTGGCTTCTGCTTCTGTCACCTGAGAGGAAGTTTTCTCTGAAAACTTTTGTCTTCAGAAAGTTCATGTCCGTGCCAGCTTCGCTTCAGTTGGCAAAGGAGGTAGTTGAGTTCTTGAGTGCTGGGATGACTGTTAAAGTACTTGACACTGGACTCCTCTTTTCTGTCTTTCTAGGGAAAAGAAGGAGCTGTATGTTCACTTTGAAAACTCGTTTTTAACATAGCTAGAAATAATTTCAAACTGTTAAATTGTGACTGGGTCCCTAAAGGGTTTTTGGGTTTGATACTGCAGCAGAGTCGAATCTGAAATGGTCTTTATGGTTTATTTTCTATTTACAAGTATGTGTGTGTTACTGTTGACCTTTTTGTGATGATTGTAGGTATTTTTAAAATAAAATACTATAAATCTGACAATTCAACCATAGTTCATGTAATGAATTATACTATTTGGATTGTCACAGCTAGTCCTCTTTTTCAGATGTTTGTTTGGTGTGTTGGTTGGTTTGGTTTTTTTTTTCCATTTTATTGTGTTTCTTCAGCAACATATGGATTTATAAATAATCCACTGTGCAGTGAAGAGGAAGGTCTGAAGCCCCATTCGTTATTCTGTGGAATTCTTGTTAGGCGTTTTCTTGTCTGTTTTGATCCTTTAATTAACTAAGGTGCGGGTCTCTTCTGAAGAAAGTAATGTTCCTTAACAATAAATTAACATCAAGAACTTAAAAGGAAGCTGAACATTCTGACTCGTCCTAGGTATGTTAATGCTGACTTAAAACACTTTGTATGACTTGTATATGTTTGAAATAGAGTTTGTCTGAGATAATAGGTGCCTGAGCTAACAAGGTCTGCCACATCTTTTAGAAACCTCGTTTCTATGTCCCCATCCCTGCTCAGATGTTGAGCTTCTAAAATGCTGTTATCATTCTTGAAAAGTCTTTTAGACTTGAGTATCAAGAACTTAGTTTGTATTGCTGTAACTTTATTTGTGTGTATCTGTTTATGAAACTTATGTGGCCTTCAGGAAAACCTTTTTTTGTAAAGTTCAGCAGTGAGAACAAGTACATTAAAATGGCTGAATAAATAAGAGATCTTATTTATAAGATCTTGTAACAGTTTACTGCAGTTAGAAGAAAACTTCTGTAGTGTGGTGTTCTGTTTCGTTTTCTTTCTACCTCACACCAGGCAACCTGCTTTGCTTGGAAGAGGATGATTTCTGTTTAAGTGAATAGGAACTTCTTAAAAGAACAGAACTTCTGTTGGTCAAACCTTCCTGTCTGTGGACTACAGACTCTTTGCTGTGATAAAACACATAGAGGACATTTACAGTAAAGCTATACAGTAACCATTGTCTGCGTCTCTGTTCTATTCTTCTAGTGGAATTTCAGTGGACAACTCCAAATTTGATGGACCTCTGTTACAGATTTTATTTATGAACAATGTAATTTCGAAGTAAGTACTTCCCAAGAAAAGCAATCCTGACAGGAAATATGACTTTTTTTTGTTTGTTTGGATATGTTAGTGTTTGTCCAAGGGATGGATATATGTTTTATTCAATAACATAAACTTGTTAAGCCTGAAGGGGAGAAAGGATAATAAGCAATATGACAGGAGGTCGCTTGCTTTCATTAGCAATATCTGTTTTTTATCATGAAATGAAGTGTGACTTCCAGGAACTTGGAGTGAGTCTGAATAGCAGTTTGAGTTTCATGAGTGTTGTGGGTAAATATAGTAAATTAAATTTTCCCTGCCTCTGAGTTGATTTTTTTGCCACACTAATATAAGGGTGCTCTCTAATAATAGATTGCATTCCTGTTGGTGGGGGTTGGGAGGAGGACAGGAGAGAAGTTGACTGCCCTTTTCCTAAGTTCTTAAGAAGTAGTAAATGGTAAATGCTTAAAAAAAAGACATCTGGCATATGTTTAAATCTTGCTCATGTCTTCATCTCTGTATATTTCTTCACTCCATTACAGGCAGTATCATCAAGAAATTGAAGACTTTGTTTTTAATTTAGTTCAGAAATATGAAGAGCAGAAGAGAGGTGAACAAGAAAAAACGCACTTCAATGTTAAGCCACAGGTACTATAAAACTCAAATTGTTATTAGGTGCTCCTTCTCTTGCATCTTTATAGTGGGAATATTGAAATACTACACTGCTAAATAGCTGAATTGTAGATGTGTTTTCCTGTTTAATTGCAAATCAAGTATCAAACAAACGTATAACTATTTGTTCCAAAAATAGAGGACCAGGACAAAGAAAATAGCCTTTCTGCCCATGAAAATGCTTCTTTAAAATTGTTCCTAGTGAAATTTGTGTAAAAGCAAAGTAATAAGTTGGTTTAAATAATCGAGAAAAGACCGTAAGGTACAAACTTAACATATCCTCTTCTGATTGTATTTGGCCCAACTTTGAGTATATATAAGAGCATAGATGAACAACAGAATCTGGAAATTTCCACTTTCTTCTGTTAGTTTAGAATTTTGAGTTTTACTCAACATTCACTTTTTAGCGTTCACTTTGAATAAAAGGGTGAAATGGCACATTTGTCTCCATCTTTCTCTTAGCTTTTGACATAAGAATAAAGATGTTCTTATGCAGCATATTTCTCATCAAAGAAAACATTAGAAATGAGCTGTGTTGTACTTTGGACTATGGAAAGCATTGTGACTAATGTAGACATCTCCATTGTACTGTTTAACTAAGTTTCATGAAAGAATAGAAGCTGTATTCCATGTTGTGCGCCTTTTACATGCTTAATTAATTTAAAATAACAGTAAAAAGAAAAGCTCCTAAAGTACTAATTTGCATTTTTACTTTTCTTGTCAGCCCTCCAGTGTTCTTTTGGAAGAGGACTGTAAAACAGCAAGCTCAAATTCTGCTAAAAAAATTAAAGAAGCTTTTAGTGTAAGTTTTTGACTATATACTCATCAATGGTAGGTCTGACTCTTCATTCTAAATATTCAATATACACTGCCGTTAAAATAAGATCTTGTTAAAATTCATTTATCAGTCTAATAGCAGTTAAGTTCAGTATGTTTTGGCTACATCAGTGGAAAAAACACTTATTTGTACAGGTGTGGGCATGTATCATTTGTAAATTCTTACAGAGTGGGGGAAAAAAACTGGAAATATTTCAAGCAATGTAAATTTATAGAAATGCTACCAATCTGACCTACATACTGACACATTTCTGACAATTTTCTGACTTTTTTTCTACAGGTTGTAGGAAGTGTTCTGTATTTTACCAATTTTTGTCTCGATAAACTGGGACAGCCTATATTAAATGAGAATCCACAGCTGACAGAAGGATGGGAAATACCTAAGTATCCTGTTTACTAAAACAAGGGGTTTTTTCCGTTTGTCAAATTCAAAGAATGCCAGTCGGTAAATTGAACTCAAATTCTGTTCAGTAGATTGTACTTTTCTATCAAAACCATATCGGTCGTTACAGATGAAAAGATTTAATGAATAATCAATGGCTTTTTTTTACTCAAAACATGTAAGTATTTTGATATGATTGGCTCGCTGATTTTTAGAAGACTTAGGCTTGGGAAGAGTGAATGCCTTATCCCCATAAATACATCTTGTGACTTCAGGAATTTCCTGGGCCAGTGTGCAATCAGGTGTGGAATGACAGCTCATTCCAGATATGAATAAGCATTCTCCCTCTGTAAAATCTGCTGTTTGGGAGAAGAAAAGGGCTTGGCAAACTCAGATACGCTCTAAGGTGATTTTTTCCAGATGTGGGAGCCAGAAGGAAAGTCTTTTAATAGAATTTAATTATGGAATGCTTTTAACTTACATCCATTTTAAAGTTGGTTCTTTGCTGTTTGTTAAAGCCAGTATTTGAAAGGTGGAATTGAGGGAAATGTTGGAAAAAGTGTTTTTTAATACTGTAGTCCTCTATGACAAAAAGAAATTGGGCAAGAAATTTCTTCATTTTTCTCAAGTAATCTCATCTCCCCAGTTTTCCAGTATTGCTTCTGCCCCAGAAGGGGTCAGGACAAGAACTGGTTTCACAGTTCATTCTGCAATATCTAGTTATCAAGCTTATAATAAAGGTTATTTCCTAGTGTTAAAAAATTACTTGTATCTGAAAGAAAATCGCAAATTTATAAGCCAGCTAACCTGGGTTTTCTTGTGCCTGCCTTTGACTGTGTGTGCACTGTGCTATAATTCTACATTTGGAAAGCTGTCTCTGTTATAGTGCATTAAGTCAGTCCTGTTCTCCAAATGATACTGTACTATCTCCCAGCCTCCAGATGAAGGAAGTAGATGCGTAACAGGGGAATTTCTCCTAAAATGCAAAGTTAAGTGTGGCTAAAGTTTCATGTCTGCCAGCTTAGCTTTGATATTGTTCTTTAAATGTAGTTACTGCATCTTTCTTTAGAGCTCCCATAGATGACATTAAGCCTAAAATAGCACTTACTTCTGAGATAAATGGTATATCAGGTACCGTGCTTCTAAATGACTGAAATACTTCACTCAATTAACTTGTCAGTTCAACTAGTATCTGGCATCTGCTTTTCTTTTTAAAAGCAACTGTTAGATTCTGGAAACTGCTGTGCTTCTGAACTCTACTGAACCTCTTGGTCTTTACCGTGCCGGTTCGCTTGTGGCCCTCTTGTCTTCTCGTATGTTTTTAGACAAATGGGCAGAGCAGCTGACACATTGCAGTCCAAACACAAACAGTGCGATATGACCTGTCTCCACCTACTTGAGAAGTGAGTTATATTTTTGAAACTCTATCAAAATATGTTATTAATAAGATTGCTGTGAAGCATATCAGAATTATTAGCTTGAAACTTCTGCCTATAAACAAAAGGATTGTAGTTTTAGCAAGTGCTGATAAAGAACAAAATTGGTTATTGGATAGAAATTGGGTAGGAGGAAACAACGTAAGCCCATCTTAGCAAATAGTTTGATAGATACAGTTTTATAGTTTATACTGTAGACTTCATATCAAGGACCCATCTGTAACTTAATCTGGAAAAGTCAGTATTCTATTCAAAGCACTATTAGGTTTTCACTGGTATTTTAAACAAGATTGAAATTTTGCTTCATCCAGTAGCAGTTCCTTATTGAAATCTAAAGATATCAGCAAGTTTTCAGCCAGATTCTCTCCCTAGATGGACAAGAAATACAAGTAAAACCAAAAAGGTTTGTATTATTCTTAAATATAAAGTTTTGAGCTGAAAAGTTCAGATGTACACTGTGATTATTCCCCAGTATACTAAACCCTTGAACATACTTGAGCAATGAGTTTAAATTAAGTAAACCAGTGTTGAGCTTTGCAGTCAGCGGGTGTCTTGTTTATTGACTTGCTTTAGGAAGGACCTAAAATCAATGTGTAAAAACTTTCTGAAGTTTACGCTCAGTTCTTCTGTTGCTTGCCTTTTTAGTGGTTGCTTTGGTGTACTATCATTATTCTTACTGTTTTGTAGAACAACTCCTGTCTGACTTATTTTATAGGCTTTTAAGACAGACTGATCTTAGAGTTGATTGTATAGCTTTTACGGGAGGTAAGAAGTAAAGCGAATTGAGTTTCCAGCTGACAGCTTGTGTGGTCTTCATAGCATCTAAAGTCACTGATTTCAGATGCAGTGAAGATCAGGCCAGCTTTTAGTGGGAATTTCAAAGATAAAGAGGTGTGCTGAGTTAAACTCTGGTTTGATTAGAAATCCTACAGTCTGAACGGAAAGCAGATTGAAGGGTTGTGCTCATGATATGGGATGGTGATAAAATACTTGGATCACCGCAGAAGGTTTCTGTTTGAATACCGTGTAAAGATGAAGCAGAAGACACACTTCACTTTATCTAATTAGAGGCTTCAAGAGGTTGGAGTGTGTGTGTGGGGGGGGATTACCCTGAACACTCATCCTTGTGACACCCTTTTGTCTCCATTTCTGGTTCCCATCCTAATTTGGTAAAAATGAATGTTCAGAAAAGACATCTTTCTCTAAAATCTTGTAAGAGATTGGGATTTGCCCCCTTATAATGTTGAAAATGTTTGCTGCCATGGTATGAATTTTCAAGGAAAATTAAACTTGAAGCCAGATGCAGTTCCAATTGTGCAGAAATTATGCACAACTTCACAATGTGCATAACTTGTTCAAACTGTGGACCAGCACTTTCCAAAGAAAGAGTCATGCTCTCCTCCTACTTGTTTCTACTGGTATCTATTCTCAGTATTGTAAAAAGGATTAGACTTCTGATGATAGAAGCATGAAAAGAGCAATAGAGGTATTAATGTACTACAGGCATATTAAATTGAGGGGTTCCTTATCAGTACTCTAGAGTTAAAAGTATTGTTTTAACATCATCTCTTCCCTTCCTCTGGACATAGCATAAGCTTTAGTATGTAGGTTTTGTTTTCATTTATTGGCACTGCCTAAGCAAATGTTTACATATTTAATCAGAAGCAGAAATCCTTCAGTGAATGTTCTTCTATCTGCGGCATGATATAAGGAAAAGCTTTTCCACCTTTAGGACAGTAAACTATTGGATCAGGTTACCTAGAGAGGTTATGCAGTCTCCATCCTGAGAGATTTTCAAGACCCAACTGGATAAAGCCCTGAGCAACCTGGTCTGATCTCATAGCTGACCCAGCTTTGATTAAGGGACTGGATTAGAGGTTTCCTGAGATCCAGCCTGAATTATTCTATGGCTATTCTATTCCCTCTTAAAGGAATAAATCTCTATTATATGGGATATAAAAGCTCCATTTCTGCCTGGAAGTACTACTTTTCCGCTGTAATTTTAGTTCTCCTCTTTATTTCTTTCCTTTCCACATGCTGTCATGTATTCACCCCCCACCCCCCCCCAGTGCTGTGCCCGTGTTTTTCTCATTTCTTGTGTTCTCCTTAGGACTGTGAAATAAACAATGTTCTGTTACTCTCTTTTGAAGATTGATTAATTAAACAGTCAGTTTAAGAGAAGCAGAAGACAGCATATGAAATCAGCAAGCAATGCTTACATTTTTTTTCTTTCTAAGTCTAAAACTAAAAATCTAACAAGATTTAAAATAATTAAGTGCATTTAACATTGCAAAATTATTTTCAGGCTTAATTTCTTGTGCATTTTTTAAGCAGGCCAAAACCGCATTGTTTCAATTGTGGTTCTGAAGACCATCAAATGAAAGACTGTCCACAGGTAAAGTCTACATCAGTATTCAAAAGGCTGCTGCTCTCCAAGAAATGTTTCAGTGTAACTGCGCCATTTACAAAAAAAAAAAAATTAGATGTATTGGGGTCAGGATGTACAAATGGTTATTCATCTCTGTTGATTAGATTATACTGTTCATACTTACAAATTCTAACATACTAAATCAGACCATAAATTAATTTTGTAGCATAATGGTTTGAATGTCTCCTTTAATTTATGGAAGGACATTTTTCAGTTTTAACACTCTTTCGTCCTGTTTTAGAGCTCCGCTAGATCCAATGCAAATACTCTTGGTTTTTTGCTATGTAGTTTTCATTACAACTGTAGTTGTATCACACGGCCATGTGATAAACAATTAAGCATGCTGAGGGCAAGGAGTACCAGTTTTATGTTGGGTGAAGGAGTGCATAAATTGTAAATTGCCCGAATCTAAACTTCCCAATTGTATTATCTTTAAGCCACGAAATGCAGCTCGTATAAGTGAGAAGAGAAAGGAGTTTATGGAAGCTTGTGGTGAAGCGAGCAATCAGAATTTTCAGCAGCGTTATCATGCAGAAGAAGTAGAAGAGAGGTTTGGAAAATTTAAACCAGGAGTAATTAGGTATCTCTTTTCCTTCCATTAGCTGTTGCACTGCTTTTCTGGAATACTTTTTCTACCTTTGGAGTGCCAGATGTTACTTTCCAGAGTTCTATAAGTCCATCTGCTACTCTTAACTATGGGTGTATTATGTTTGAATTTGTTTGCTAAATAAAATTTTGTTTAATAAATTGCACAGATATTTTTTCAAATGAAAACTCATTGCTAGCTTAATAGTCCTACCCTTTCCCATGGCACTTGTCTCCCTAATGTAGGGAGACAAATTTTACTCTTTGGCTATTCAAATTGCAAATATATTATGTTCCTAATAAACTAAAAATGCATGCAAGATTCTGAAAATTTTGAGCTTTGAGTGTCCTTCCTCTTTTTCTCTCTATTCAAAATGTTTTAAAAAAATCATAATATGGCTGTAGCAGTCTCCAAAGAAATCATTGGTAAATTTACTGTTGCATTAAGTTCCACCCTTCCCATTGTGATAGCTACGGTTAAGGCCATGAATCAGAAGTAACAAGTCGAGTAAGTTGTTCTCAGTGTAGAACTAATTCTCATAAAGTGTTTAAGCATACATATGCTTGTATGGAGAAATGAAAGTGTTAGAAGTTATCTTTAACATCAGAGCTGGTTTTGACCGAAAATTGTTATATCTGGAATTGACATGCAACATAGTTTGAGCTAAAACTAAGTTGTTTTAACTGGATAGTTTAAAATTCAATAAAATGTTCATAACTTCCTTTTGTCAGAACTCAATTATGGATTTTACTGGAGGACTTTGTTTTCTGTTTATTTTCTTAACTTAGTGGGGAACTTCAAGATGCACTTGGTGTCACAGATAAAAGTCTTCCTCCATTTATATATCGCATGCGTCAGCTGGGTTATCCTCCAGGTTGGCTCAAGGAGGCTGAAATGGAGCACTCAGGACTTGCGCTTTATGATGGAAAAGGTAAGGAATGTGCTGCAGGAATGCAATTTTCAGTATGCAGGCTATTTACTGCCTGCACCCTATTCAGGAGACAATGAAGTACTTAGTTTGTAAACCTTCATCTTCCTCATGGAGGAGTGAGAAAGTTGTAAATCAAGTTGGTTTTTTTTCTAAAGTCATGTAAAAATACTCCCCTTTCATCTAGCTATGATGTGACAATGAAACAACTTCTATAATGATTGGATTGCATAGTTGAAGACTCTTTGTCAGTGTGATTCCACTCTAATCAACCCTTGATAATAGAACATGGAGTTCCTTGTGAAATTGTGCAAAACTTGCAAATAGCCTATTGTCAAATTTCCTCTTCCTTTTTTTAATAAGCTTCTCATGTTTTGTGAAAGAAACCATAATACTTTCTAAAGTTCAATAACTTACTCTTATATAATAAGAATAAGAAGACCACCAGCAAGCAAAGAATACATTTCTTGAACCCCAACTTATCAAGTAATTTACCAGCTTTTTACTAATGACCAACATTTATGCTGCATCTCAGAGAACAGTCCTGATGCCAAATTCTGAGGCTAGTAATGGTACATAGAGAGTGGTATTATTATGAATACCCAATTAGGTTTCTGGGGAAGCTTCGAGCATGTATCTGTTAGATTTGGTCACTGTTACTGCCTTTGTGGATTACAAAGCCTTCTATCAACACACACATTCCAAAATCCTGTTCTTAAATCCTGTGGATTTTTTCAGTAATGTTCTTAATTAGCATCAATAATAATTATATTTTGTTATAGATGATGGTGGAACAGAAGATGAAGGATCTCATCAACCAAAACGCATCACTTATGATGTCTCTAAGTTGATAAACTATCCAGGCTTTAATATATCCACTCCAAGTGGGATCCCAGATGTAAGTGGCTGTCCTCTGCCTTCTAAACAACATGCTGAGTAACATTAATTGCTTTTAGCCAAGTTTATCAGTGCATCTCACAATTTTCTTTCAACAGGCTCTTTTTAAGCTATTTTTGCTATTTTTAAGCACCTGGTTTGGGGCTGGAGGCTGTTGAGGTAATTGACATGACATCCATCTACCTGATACCTGTCACAGATCTTGTGGGTAGGGTCTGACAGTGCTTCTGTGGTGATTATTTCCATTATGAGACCGCCAGGAGCCTAGAAGGATAGTTCAAATTTTTATTTTTTTTTAAACCAAAACTTTACACACAAATGCCTGTTCCTACATAAATAAATATAATTTCAACTATAGAAAACTACATCAGACCAGTGTGCAATCTCTGGGAAGCTTTGTAACTGCTAGAACAAAACGAGTCATATCCAAAGACCCACATAGTGGATGCCCTCTTAAGCATAGAGCGCACAAAGAATCTCCTGCGGCTGCTGCTGCTGAACTTTTATTTTCAAAAGCATTTTAACCTGTTGCTAGCAGTGAACTTCATCACTGATGTTAGTGCCTGTGCATTAAAAAGAAGCACTTGTACATTCTTTTTTGCAGCTTTACGTTTGCCCATTTAGTGGCCTCCAAATGTGTTTTTTCATTCAGTATTCTTAGCCAAAGTTCTGTCCTCAAGTTTTTTTCAGTTTTCACTAAATTAACAGTTTTCAAAGTAAACCTTTTTCATCTGAACAGTTATTTTGAGGGGAAGTTTGTAGTTGTGTTACAAATGTTGAAGAGTAGTTGCTATGAAATGGTTAACGATGTTTTGTAAAGGTGATGATTTTTTTTTTAAATTATTATTCCTACAACCCAGTCATAGTGCATTGCATCAGTTGTTTGTGTTCACAGGTAAGAGTACTTTGGTTTGCCAGAAGTTCCTACAAAAGATCTATTTACTCTGATAAATGAGGCTTTTGATGAGAACTTGAATTCATCTTGACTTGTTAATCTCTCAGTGTTTCTCTTAAGTTTTACTGTCCTGTTATTAGCCAACCATATGCAATGTTATTTCTCTTTTTTTTTTTTTTCTGTAGGAATGGCAGATATTTGGTTCTATCCCCATGCAGCCATCTCAACAGAAAGATGTTTTTGCCAACTACCTTTCTAATTTTCATGCGGTAAATATATCTCATTGTTATTCACAAAAAAAAAAGTTGTCATGTAGTTAGTGTAGCCAATGATGATCTCTTGTTTAAAGCTTCTTTTTTGCACAAGGGGATAGACTTTCTTGTTGACACTACCAGGTGTGAAATGCTGATGCTTGGCTTTATCTGTTCTAACAAAAAGGAGCTTCATGTTTAGAACAAGTTCCATTATTTCAATTAATATAAGCAGATCCCAATTGTGCAATATTTTATAAACAGTTGTGAAAAAGGTTACTATAAACTTTTACAGCCTAAAACCAGTCTTAGTTCCAGACTTCCCAAATAAGTGAAAAGCTTACTTGCCATAGTCATGATTTACAGTAATCTTATAGTGACTTGAGAAAACTCATGGTAGTCCTGTCCTGTATCATTCTCAGGTCTTCTCTAATGTGATTTTAGCCTAGTGTTATCTACTGCAGAATACTTCCACTTAAGGGTGGAAGGTGTATGCTCTGCTCTTAGTCCCAAAGTGTACGCTATATGGAATTAAACGGTAAATTCTAAGCCTGCCAGGAAGGGATGTGCAATACTTGCATTGTGATGGTCTCATAAAATGTAGGTGTCCAGGTGGAAACTTGGTCCTAATCCTGTGTTAGGAATGTAGACAGTCTTTTCTTTTGCCACTTAAACCTGAACAAGACTACAGTTCTGTTCAGTTGCGTTAAATCTCTCAAACTTCAATGTCTAGTTTACACACTGGGTTGCCAAATGATTGTATAGTTATGAAATTGCTTTAAATATGTTCTTATAGCTGGAAATGTTACCTTGTACAATTTAATACTAATTTCTTTTGTTTTCCTGGATGATTTCTCTTCAGCCAAGTCCAAAATCTAGCAATAAAAGGGCTGCATCTCAGTCAAGCTCTCATCGTTCAAAACGACCAAAAGAAGACAATTTGGAGGTACCAGCAGCTGACATGGACCTAGATTCTGGTATAGTTATTTTGCAATTTTTTTTCCTAGTTTCAATTTTTATTTTCAAAATAATTTGCTCTGAATTGAAATGGCAGTGTTCATAAAGAGAAACCAATGTGTTAGTATTTGTTATGGTGGTAATTAATGTAACTGCTAACATATGCTAGCCCTCTCTACAATAAGCATTCTCTGTTGCTGCAATTGTCATATCTGCCGATACCAAGCAGGAGGTTTCAAGTGTGCTCAGAGCAATTAGAATGTTAGGTTACAAATTCCGATCTCTTTACTTCAGGTGTATCCTAAAGAAACTTACGTTATGAAGACCTCCAAATCCTTAAATATTTGGATGAAATAATGTAGGAAGTTAGAAGCTCACAACTTAAACATGAGTCAAACTCACAGGAGGACTTAACAGTGTTGTTTAAACGTTAGAATAGCTGGAGGAACTTCTGGCTTTCATTTTGGATTTCCTATGAGGAAATCCTTCAGTGTGTCTCAGTGTGGAATAGGTTTGTTCTCAATACATTCAAGAGTATTGTATCTTTTTTCTTTCCCCCCCCTTGAATGGCTAGCAGAGTTAAAATCTCCAAAAACATAGTTTCAGTGGATATTAAAATATTCAAAAAGTTTGTTCTATCTCAGCTGAAAACCAAGAATGAGAACACATAAGTCTGCTAGTTAATCAGAGCATTGGTGCTTTGAATCTTGTCCTACTCAGATTTCAGATTCTAATAGATGTCTTTCAATCTGTTTCTAGATCTGGAAGTGTCACAAAGATCTCAAACTCCTAACAGTTTTCAGTTCCAACCTCCGCTGCCTCCTGGACGTCCATCAATGTCAACTCCTCCTCCTTTACCACGAGGAACACCTCCGCTAAATCTTACACCAACTCAACCTTCAACACCCACCCACTCTCCCCTTCCTAGGACTACTCCACCATTGAATCCTTCCAGTGATGTTCCTCAGCCAAAAATAGTGGACTCAGTCATGGATGAGGATACTCTGACTTTGGAAGAGCTAGAGGAACAGCAGCGATTAATCTGGGCAGCGCTAGAGCAGGCAGAAAGCACAAACAGTGACTCTGATATTCCTGTTGATACACCTTTAACTGGAAATTCTGTTACATCATCACCATCTAGGAACGAAGTAGATCTTGTTGCAGAAGTAAGATCATCTGATAAGGTGATTACAGTGGAAACTAGGTTTTCCGACATCAGTGAACAGATACCAGAAAATGAATGTTCTGTAACTAGTCCTAATCCAGGAGATAGTTTGCTTAACTTAAAGGAAAATCCTGGTAATACAGATTCTGAAGGCTTGCTGGATAACACCATGCCTGCTCCCAACCGTGAGGTTAACGATGGAGAAAATACAGGTGGTAATAAAGTGGTCACAAGCATTGAATCATCTGCAAAAAACTCCAGTCTTGTTCCTGATATGAGCAAGTTTGCTGCAGGCATAACACCATTTGAATTTGAAAATATGGCAGAATCAACAGGTGTTTATCTACGAATAAGAAGCGTGTTAAAAAATTCCCCAAGAAACCAGCAAAAGAAAAAGACATCATCTTAACTAGTCTTCCTTTGTTTCGTTATGTCCAAATCCCTGCTTCCTTCTCTCTCCTTCTCCGGTTTTACAAACTCGGATAGCCTTCCTCATCCTTTTGTGGGAAGGAGAAAATCTTGACGAATACAGCTCTGCCCCGTTCTTCCGTGGGACTGAAGTCAGTGCAGGGCTTCCGTATTGACCAGGACCACCAATGCGGCCAGAAAATGCAGAAGAATTTTGCCAAATTGCATCCTTCTGCTAAGGAATAACAGGACTGTTGATTTGTTAAGAACGATTTACTTGCCAATACATGAAACTCGAAAAAGAGGAGTTTGTGGTTTGCTGTTCATTACTTTGGCTAAGATTTATATTGTCCTTGAGTTTCAGGTGGATTCGTGATTTTTTTTAATATCTGTCCTTTGTACAATAATCTATACTTTATGCATTTTGCTAATTATCCTGTAGATAAGTTTAATATATTCAGAATGTTTTTAAAAAGGTCTAACATTAAGATTTCCCACATCAAAATCCTGGCAATTGGATGAAAATAATCAGGGATTACCAGCATTATCTTCACCATTTCAAATATTTTTATAAATTATTTATGTGGGTCAGTTTTAATTACCACTGTATCTTTTGTAACATCATCCTTCATGTAAACTTGCTGTACATACATGTTCATTGTTGTGTACAGAGGTTTAATAAATGAGCTTTTATATAAAGATTTTTTTAATGAGTCCTAAACCATCAAACTGCTGATTTTTGAAAATTAGCTGCTGAAGATAATTAGAAAAAGAAGCTGATTAAAATGGGGATTAATAAAAATGGGGATGAATAAAGTTAAATACTTTAGGAAGGGTCACAACTATTGCGTTCAGGTTTTCATAATCAAGAAGCTGTTAAAATTATTTTAGCTACTTAAATAGAACCTTGCCATACCATTTAATTTTCATAATCTGAAGAATTTCCCACTTCTGAAAGCTTAAAAGTGCTTTAATTAATTAATTCTGCTGATTAATTGTTCTAACACTTTTTTTCCCTTCTTTTAATTGTCTTCAGGGGGACCTGTGGGTGAAATGACTGTATGTTATTTGCATTGCCAGCAGAGGGAGTACTAGATTGACTTAGCAGTATTCATTGGCGCTGTAAAGCATTTGTCCTTACGTAAATGCAGGAAAAAAGTCTTCCTAGCCAAGTGAGATGCATAGTAAAACAAAGTATCTAAGAAAAGACTTGTGAAGGGGCGATGTTCAAAGGTGTATTTGATAAGATAACCTCAGAGACTGAACTTACTCTTTCAAATTCTTGGCTTTGCAGATAGTACGTATTTCCCCGAAGATCCTTATAGTACATGGTATTAGTACACTCTGCATTTGAATGCTTAAGAGAACCCCAGGAACCCCAGGCTTTTTGTAGTTAAAGCTTTTATATTTATTTCCTTTTTTTTCTCTAAACTTTACAGGAAGGGAGAACCAATGTGTCTTTATACATGAACTGCTTGTCTTCCAAGAGGCTGAAAAAAATTTTTGCAGCATATACCAGTTCAGTTTATCTGGTTGCATTTGGAAAGCAGTGGTCGAGGTAAATGTTCATCGTATGTGCTAAAATGAAAGGCTTTTTTTTTTTTATCTTTTATAGGAGAAATAGTATTACTTTCTGTAACAGGAATGGATAATGAAATAATAATGTTGCTTCCAGCTTCTATACACTTTACAAAGAAATCTGTATTTGGAAGCATATAGAGATCTTGTGCTTTCTCTATGCCTCCTCCTCCCATGGAGTTAAAAGCTAGTAATGACAGTTTACACAAGCCATTATGTGCTGTGTGCTGCATCATTCACATGTGGATGACAGTGTGATGCAGGGCATGAGGTAATGATTTCAAGTGTACACGCCTTTTGGGTGTGTTGAGGTGCTCATATTTTAAACATGCAGTTCTCTCACCACACCTTAGAAGATCTTTTTTTAATAGCTCTTACAAAATGCTGCTTCTTTAGTAGGATGTACAGCCTAAACCTTACAGGAGTACTTGTGTACTTCTGCCTTGCCTACAGAAACTGCAAGAGGAATATCATCTTTATATGCTTAGTACCCTTTAGCATTCTATGTGTTCACAATAAATTCATAACAAATCACCCTTCCACCTAACTGATCAGAGTAGATAAGTCTTCAATGTTTGTACAGATTCCCAGACCTATCACTAAAGTAGCTGTTAACTTTATTGCGTCCAAGATTTATACTGAAGATATTAGAGTAAGGGTAAAGTGAAGTCATTTCAGCAATATGGCTTTTAATGTAATGGTAAATTCTAGTTTAAATATGTTAAATCCTTAATTTTATAAGGCTTTGAATTTTAAATTCTTCAGCATTTTTTATCACTTTGGCTACTCTTGTATTTGCTGCACACAAACTACTTGGAGATACGGATCTTTCTCATTTTTGGAAGATGATGTCTTCCATTATCTAAAGCAAATATTATTTGGGAGGGCTTGGGGCAGGAATGGACTGTGTTTGGGTCCACGTTTTATATCCACTGGAATTTTTGTCCAAAGTGACTGGACTGACTAATTATTCAAGTCAGCAAATGTTTTTGTCCTTCACCTGTAGTCTGCTACCATTGGAAGCATGCGGCCCATGCTGTCACACTTGCATACACGCTTGAATTAAAATTCCCGCAACTGGGATTGTTCCCATTTAACAATCTTGGTTTTTAACATAATGGCAGACTGTAGGCTTTTGTAAATACTGAGTTGTCTGGGTGCTCAGAATTATTTTTTGTATTGCCTTTGTGCTTCTTTTGCAAAACTGTTAGCAGATGTTTAGACTTGCTTCTTTTAGTCTTGGTATTACCCCTGTCTGTCTTGAATATGGTTTTGGGGGTAAGTCAAGTATCACGTGACACCAGTGCTCATTCTTTTGCAATGATATCAATATAATTAATAAATAGGTGGTATGAATGTTTTCCTGTTAGTTAAAATCTGTATGACGAGTTGGTTATTGATTTCAGTAGACTGCTAGCAGGGGACTAAGAAAATGCTGAGCTGGGAGCTGCTTGGAGCTAGTCAATGGAAAGCATTGAGTTACCAGGCCTTGCCGGGCCTTTGGGCTGTCTGGATATGGTATGAATTAGAGCATGAACTATTAGACTTAGACCACCTATACCATATATTGAGAAACTCCCCTTCCTTTTTTTTCTTATTCTATCCATCTTAAACATCTGTAGATGTTTAGTTTCAAGTCTGAGGGTGCCAAAATCCAAGCCCTTTTTCACTAATGATCTGTATAACCTGTATATTAAAACAAAAAACTTATCCCCTGTTAGCCTAAAAATTTCTTTACTTAACTGGTAGAGCAAAACATAGCTGGGAATAGAATACTTTCATTTGTTACTCTTTTGCCTTTCAAATTGTAAAGAAAACTTATAAAAGTTCTTGTAATAGTTTTTTTTTTTCTTAGAATAAGATTTTTGTAATGCATATGTTTTGATCTCAGAAAAGCGGATGGCCTGTGGCAGGAAGTGTATAATTTTGGTGTTTAACTTCTAGTAACTGATTTGAAATAAGGGTAATCATACAAAATACTGGGCACTTGGAGGTATCTTTTAAATTGTTCTTTTTAAATCTTATCTTTTAAATTGTCCTTTCTATGGAGGTGGTGGTCATCAGTATGGATAATGCTCTGAGAAGATCGAGCAGAACCGAAGAGTAAAACTCCTACTGTATTTACCTCTGCTGTAAGACATACAGTTAATTAGGGACAGGGAGTTACCCCTGCTGTTTCTCTCATGGTTAGGAATGAATTCATCCTGATCTCTTATCAATTTATCTATACTTCACTGTTCTTATCATGTGCTATATATTGTTGCTGCACTGAAGATGTTTGTAATTATTGAATTTCTTGAATCTGTCAGGTGTAACTACTCAAATTGTTTTTGTATATTGAAACTGCAATCACATCACACTACAAGGTGTGAGAAAAAGCTGAATAGCAAAGTATTTCTGTTACTTTTAAGTCACATTCCCATGGTGATGGGTGTGGCATAATAACCTAGATTAGAGTTTACTAAAATGAATGAGTAATAAAATTTGTAATGAGGTGGGTATAGTGTGAGCAGGCGTCACTCAAATTTTCCCACAGATTCCTGTTGGCATAGTACTCATGTTTGTTTACAGCATTTGGAACAGCAAAGGTATTTTAAACATGCTTATGCACATCTAAAAATATCTAATCTGTGCAAAATATTCAGGGTATCAGTCAGGTGGCTAGTTGTCTCAAAAATATTTGAATTTCTAACACATTTATTTTTATAATCTAATTCACAGTGCTTAAAATGTCATGAAAAGAGAGCTGACGTTCTAGAAGATATCTGAAAGACGTGTTAGCTGCTAAGAAGAATTATTTTTACTGCAAACTCTGTAAGGCAGGATAGCTGGGGGGAAAAAAAATGTAGAGGAGGAAAAAGCTCACATATAATTAAAGTGTTTCAAATGCATTGGTAGTTGCCATGGAACTCCGTAGTACCTTCATTTTGTAGAACGGCTGGGGGGGCTCTGGTAAGTAAATGCCATTGAAGACTGATGCTGTTCCTAAGAATATGCTGTAGAGTCATGCTTACATTTTGGGGGGTGGGAGGGGATGAGTCAGAGGTAGGAATTGGTCTTGATCCTTGGAAAAGCTTACAAACAGGATGGATTTAATAACATGGTAATTAATGTGTGACAATTGGACACTTCCTAAATTTTTATTGAGTCACTGGATAACAGCTAAATATCGGTTGCAAAAAATCTTACGTCAAATCTTTTGTTGCTTGTAGTTAACTAAAGTTTATTTACCCTTTCTTTAGAACTCAGCACTCTCAATAGGAACAAAAAACCTTCTGCTTTGCTTTTCTGTAGGTGAGAATTCAGCTTTTGTTGGTATTTACATCAGTGGCAGAATGATTTGCATAGTCCATCTTTTTTAATAGACTATGGTTTCTCAGTTATCCGTGAAATGAAACACTCATAATCAAGATGAACGTTATTGTTAAATTAAGTACTTTGTTTAAACAAACATGCAGAAAGGATTATTTAAATACTGTCTGTTTAAATACTGTTCTCTGTTGTTTTACCCATGTTGGGTAGAACAAATAAGGTAAAGTTGGATGAAAGTTTGTCTTATGTAGCATACCAACAAAGAACATGGACTTGCAGAGCTTTTTGGTACTGCTGCTGGGTACTACGTCTGACCTAGGGAAGCAAAACTAAGTACATTAAGAATGGAAAGACTTCTTGCAGCCTTCCAATCCACTAAGCTGTGACAGTAACTACCAGGTCTGCAGGTTTGTTTTTTTTTTTGAACTGTTGCATACATGATAATTAAGGCTAAAAAGAGCAGGTTTTCATCTAGTGTAACCTATCTGTCAAAGGCTGCCAGTTTTAGTGACATAAACTTAAACCCAAAAATAATAAGAGTAAGCAGGAGGCTTCAGGACACTAAATCTCTTTAGGATCAGTATAGCTGTAAATAGATGAGCAAAATGTAGCACTCAGGTTAAAAGGGGAGGGGGGAATCCTGTTGTGTTTTTGCAAAACCAGAAACAACTACAGAAAATAATAGTGCAAGTTTCTGTGCTGGGATTTTTGAAGTGGCACTTCTGTGATTAAAAAAAAAAAAAGGCAATTAGTTACTTTTCCTGAAGGAGGTATGACCATCAGTTCTGTATAGGAATTGC